CTGTTGCCAAGGGGGGGACCCCAAAATATTTTTTTGTGCGCTTACACTCGCAAATTGTGCCCCCCCCCTAAACAAAAGCCATCGTACGCCCCTTGTTAAATATACAATATTTTGACTGCATAACAGAAAATATTGATGCAATGGGATATTTTTCAACTGAACCTCTAAAGTTAAGCTAAATCATACGGAACTTAAAAAAGATTGATCACAATTTATTCTTTGTGAGTACCCCTGTATTATATTATACTATGTATATTATACTTAAAGGTTATCGGAGTACATATACTTGAGCGTACACATAGTACACTTGTACGGAACACATGGGGTAAGGTAAGGAACCAAAGTCTTAAAAACCAGTTCAGTTTTAACAATTTTTAATTTTAACGTCTCCATGACATCTTTATAGTGTAATCTATTAGTTTGTAGGTGTGACATGTGTTATCATTTGTATTAAATGTGAAACTTTGAATTAACTTAATTGAGTGTTCGATTGGTGTCTCATTAACTTGACTTCTGCAGTGTTTAGACTTATTTTATATTTTATTTAAAATTTAGTTTCAATTATCTTAGTTATTCTGTGGAATGAGCTATACTTTTTCATTTTTTTTTATTAGTTCTGCACATATTTGTACAAATTATTGGTAGCATGGATCCGTTTTATTCCCAGAGAACGATTTTCGGACCCCCCCCAGGCCCATACTAGCCGCAGCGCTCGGCCCAGAAAGTGTCTTAACTAACCTAACCCGTGGCCGTAGCGCTCGGCCCCCTAGCCCATCCTAGCCGCAGCGCTCGGCCCAGAAAGTGTCTTAACCTAACCTAACCTTAAATAATGCTAAATAAATACAAATTTGGTCATGTACAAAATTGATAGGAGGGGGGGGGGTCCAAAAATCGTTCTCTAGGACAGACCCCATGGATACCTCAACAACGTTTAGAATGAGGGCCTAGCATAGGTATAACATTTTTTTTCTTTCAAGTCTATAACGAAGGGCAAATTTTATAAAGCTTTGTGGTAATGTCCTAATATACGATTTTTGGAATACCCCCACCCTCCCCCCTCCTATAAATTTTGTACATGGATCTCATATTTAAGACATGAACAAAATTGACCATGTGGCCGCAGCGCTCGGCCCCCTGGTCTTAACCTCACTTAACCCTAAATATATACAAATATTGTTAAAAATTATTGAAAAAGTGGTCGTGTTTTTTTAAATATAAATTCTTTTTCAGAATAGTAATTATCAAGATGGGAAAGGAAAAGACTCATATCAACATTGTTGTGATCGGTCATGTCGACTCTGGGAAGTCTACCACCACTGGACATATGATCTACCAATGTGGAGGAATTGATAAAAGAACTATCGAGAAATTCGAGAAGGAAGCTCAGGAGGTAAACACTAAGATGTCTAGTTGAGTTTCTTATCCCTATATAGCTGCAACCCAATGTGAGATCTTAGATATTATAAAATATGAAATATCAAAGGTTTTTAACTTCAGGTTGCAAAGATATTGGGACTATATTCATAATATTATATCTAGGAATAATCAATATTTAAAGGGTATCTTTAATATGACTCTCAAAACATCTAATATGTTTCCCGACAATTCTGTAGAAGCATTCTAAGATTTAACAGTCTATAATTTTTTAAACGAAGTATATTCAATTTTCTTTTAGTTTTGGTTTTTATCTTTATCGGTGGTAGATATTCAATTATAGTTGTTACTCAAAGGTCTAGACTTAATTCTATTAACTCTAGAGACTTGTACGTTTAAAAAACCAGATCTCTTAACTGATTTTACACTTTGTGTAGATGGGGAAGGGTTCCTTCAAGTACGCCTGGGTCCTTGACAAACTGAAGGCGGAACGTGAACGCGGAATCACTATTGATATCGCGCTCTGGAAGTTTGAGACCCCCAAGTTTTACGTGACTATCATTGATGCTCCTGGGCACAGAGATTTCATCAAGAATATGATTACAGGAACCTCGCAGGCAGATTGTGGGGTTCTTATCATTGCTTCTGGTAAGAGATGTTTCCTTCCTGCTTAATTATTATTTTACATTTTATAGGTACTTGTAATCATGGATATAAAATAGATGGATCATAGTCAAGGTTTGATGTAAGGGGGGGGGGGCCNGGTCAGAACAGACACTAATTTAATTCGACAGGGGATACAATTGTTAATGAACTTTCAAAGTGCATACAGTATAAGATATAAAACTGTGGAATAGGAAGACGACATTTATGCAACCTTGTGTGTATTTAAGTTGCTAAATACACTTTAAATTTAACTAACTATAATTTAAAGGGACTGTACGCGTAATTTCAAGTGACCCTCCATACAAAGATGGCAATGCCCGATTTACAACGGTACCCTTGAAACCTTATACTAATCAAATATGAATAATATATCAATAATTTTGTTTCTTTAAAAACTGCTTATTTTCATTTGCGGTAACTTTCGTATTTCTTGTTTGTAAGAAGCAATGGAGAAACTACAGAAATAAACACTTTTGGGTGTTATGCAGTACGTTGGATTCATAACTGAACCCATGCAGAAATACGGATGTCTACTATTTCCCTTCTATTTCCCTTATAACTTCAATTATGGATATCTTGTACATTCTAGATCAGACAAAGCTTTCAAGTGTACCATTGTGACTTAAACGTGCCCCATAACAAACGAAGAGTTCAGTCCTTAAAACTTCTTTTGAACCTAGGAACTGGAGAGTTTGAGGCCGGTATTTCCAAGAACGGACAGACCAGGGAGCATGCACTTCTTGCTTACACTCTTGGAGTTAAACAGCTGATTGTTGGAGTCAACAAGATGGACTCTACAGAGCCTCCATACAGCCAGGCCAGGTTCGAGGAGATCCAGAAGGAGGTCTCCGGGTTTATCAAGAAGGTTGGATATAATCCTGCTGCGGTTCCCTTTGTTCCTATCTCTGGGTGGCACGGAGACAACATGTTGGCAACCAGTCCCAACATGTCCTGGTACAAGGGATGGGCTATTGAGAGGAAGGAGGGTAAGGCAAGTGGAACAACTCTTCTTGAGGCATTCGATTCCATTATTCCTCCCACCAGACCTACGGACAAACCCCTTAGGCTTCCCCTTCAAGATGTTTACAAAATTGGAGGCATTGGAACAGTTCCAGTCGGTAGGGTTGAGACTGGAATTATAAAACCTGGCATGGTTGTCACCTTTGCTCCGGGACAGCTCTCTACTGAGGTCAAGTCCGTCGAGATGCACCACGAGTCTCTGCCCGAGGCTACACCTGGAGACAATGTTGGATTTAACGTTAAGAACGTCTCTGTGAAGGATATTAAGAGAGGAAACGTTGCATCCGACTCCAAGAACCGTCCTGCTACTGGAGTTCAGGATTTCACTGCTCAGGTATTAACTCCACATTTGTATATTTTTTTTAATGGTAACATTAACTGAAAGGTTCATTTTTTTGCGATTAGATTTTTACACTTTCTTTCTTATGTTTAAAATTAGTTTTTCTGTTTTATTAGGTTATTGTTTTGAACCATCCCGGCCAGATCTCGAATGGATATTCTCCGGTCTTGGATTGTCACACAGCTCATATTGCTTGCAAGTTTGCTGAGATTAAGGAGAAGGTGGATAGACGTACAGGTATAAAACTAGATTTAACTTTAAATACTAGTTTACGGGCAATATTTTTAATTTTTAATTATTTGACAGCATGTTCAATATAAGAATTGCAATTAATACATTTATGATATTTATAAAAAATCTACTACGCGTGGAATCTTTGTAATTTTGCAGAAAAGAAAATTATATATTGAATGGATGTGAGAATAAAATATTTTTCCAAATTTCATCATTTTTGCATGTTATATCCAAGGACTAATGATAGAACGAACCGTCGCCAAAAATTGACTTCCATTCTCAGGCTTAAATGCCTAATCATTTTTTATCATAATAATCAAGATTCAAATTCTGATAATGTTAAGGTAAATCTACTGAGGACAACCCTAAGTTTATCAAGTCTGGAGACGCTGCTATTGTTAGACTTGTACCCAGTAAACCAATGTGTGTTGAGGCCTTCTCCGACTTTCCTCCTCTAGGACGGTTTGCGGTCAGGGACATGAGACAGGTAGGGGTCAATCTTCAAGAACGGGGGGGGGGGGTACACATTATTTATAAAACTTAATCTGAAGGGAGTAAAAAGTTATGTGATATCCAAAACAACTTTGAATACGAATGAGAACCCAGCTTTGTCTGGATTAATAATAAACCTACTCGACAAAATATTGGTCAATTTGTTTAGAGTTGGTCATGCAAACAAACTTACTCATTAAAAATAACTACACACAGATGATAAGATAACCAAAGTTTACTTGTAGACTGTTGCTGTCGGTGTTATCAAGGCCACCACACCAAAGGATGTTGCTGGTTCTGCCACCAAATCCGCCGCAAAGGTATTTTTTTTCATTCCTTAGGAGTTTTCAGTGTTACCCACAAAGTATGATACTTTAATGACAGTATCGAAACCTTCATAAAGTAGAGTTGGGATCTGCCTTCAGTAAAGTGCAGGAAAATATTTGGCAAACCACCATGAAGTCTCGTACTATGTGGGTAATCCTGCACAAACCTCAAAATAAAATACTACTTGAAATACTTGAGAAATTATATTCCATGGTTTCTTGTTAAAAGAATTGTTTATGATTTTGCGAAGAAAGTGACTAGTTTACGGTTTTAGAGAAACATAGATATAAGCAAGGTTGTAATGCGTATACTCTGCCGCTGCGTACATATTGAAACCAGTTCTCTCTGGGCTAATTTGTAAACAAGAATAGATGCATCAGTGTTCGTTTAGTATCCGAGGAGGTTAAAAGCATTAAATTTTGATAATTTTGATAATTCACATTTCATATGACCAGAATATTTCATTGATTTTTTTATTTGAAAGATGGATCCTATGTCAGGCTTTAACATCCGTCTTGTGTTTACATTACCGCCCAGAGTCGTACACTGCAGTACAAAAGATGCGTACACCTGAAATAGCTTTCCTTGCATTACATCTTTGGATGTTTGAAAACGGACACATTTAATGCCATACAGTGGTCTCTGAAGTCGTATCCTCTGTTGAAAACTGTATAACAATTATGATCCTCACCCTGTAGGTCTATTAAATTATCACACTTATAATTTTTTTTAATTGTATTGCTCCCTACGCTTCTGTCAAGTTTCAAAATAAGTTTGTCTTCAATTGCTTAATTATTTTGTTTAGGCACAGAAGAAGAAGTGAAGTACATGGTTGGGGCAACATCTTCAAAGCAGCGGAGTTTTCCATCCTCGCCACATTAAACCTTCTAATGATTATTACATCCATGTTATTTTTTCTTGCTTTAAAAAATATGTCTACTTTCATCGGAAGGAGTTTCAGCGGATAGCCCTGACATGTTGCCCACATATTTTTTTAATATAAACCTGTTTTTCTTATATTACGACATATGCAAGGATTCTTAAATAAATAATATCTATCTGAAACTATTTTGTTAATAAGAAATTTGATAATTTTCTTCTTATTTTTATCCAGGTTTTTGAATCTATTACGGAATACATAAAAGAATCCTTGTGGTACGGTGTTGTCTTTAAAATAACTTCAGGAATAGAGTTTTTTACAGTTTTGAATTTCTAATTTCGTAGACCTCTAATATTTTTAACTCAATTCTGTACGGTTAAAAAGTAGAGTTTGAAGGACTTAGAGTTTGCGAAGATATTAACTTAAGCGACTGGAAAAATCGAATTTTGGTTTAATTTGAGAGACTGTTAGTAAGAAAGAGGAGAACATGTTATGGATGGTTCTACTCTACAATCTCGGCTTGTTGCTTGATATCCAGAATAGTTAGAGATGCAACAAAACTAGTTCCTGTAAAACGTGAATAAAACCACTTTCTTATTTCTCTTATAGCATCTCCTTTTGTCGAGGGGTTCCAAGAAACTAAACAACTCTAAATTGTTCAGTATTTTTATCTACCGATTACTTAATTTAATCTGTTCTCTTCCTTCCCTTTTCATCCTGTATACTCGGTTCTCTTCCTTCCCCTTTCATCCTGTATGCTCAGTTCTCTTCCTTCCCCTTTCATCCTGTATACTCAGTTCTCTACCTTCCCTTTTCATCTTGTATACTCGGTTCTCTTCCATCCCTTTTCATCCTGTATACTCAGTTCTCTTCCTTCCCCTTTCATCCTGTATACTCAGTTCTCTACCTTCCCTTTTCATCCTGTATACTCCGTTCTCTTCCTTCCCCTTTCATCCTGTATACTCAGTTCTCTTCCTTCCCCTTTCATCCTGTATACTCGGTTATCTACCTTCTCCTTTCATCCTGTATACTCAGTTCTCTACCTTCTTTCATCCTGTATACTGAGCTCTCTTCCTTCTCCTTTCATCCTGTACACTCAGTTCTCTTCCTTCTCCTTTCATCCTGTATATCCAGGTCTCTTATTTCATCCTGTATTCTCGGTTCTCTTCCTTCTCCTTTCATCCTGTATACCCACTACACAGTTCTCTTCCTTCTCCTTTCATCCTGTATACTCAGTTCTCTTCCTTCTCCTGTCATCCTGTATACTTAGTTCTCTTATTTCACCCTGTATACTCAGTAATCTTCCTTCTCCTTTTTTCCTGTATACTTAGTTCTCTTCCTTCCCCTTTCATCCTGTATGCTTAGTTCTCTACCTTCTCCTTTCATCCTGTATACTCGGTTGTCTTCTTTCATCCTGTATACTCAGTTCTCTTCCTTCTCCTTTCATCCTGTTTACTCAGTTCTCTTCCTTCTCCTTTCATCCTGTACATTCAGTTCTCTTCCTTTTCCTTTCACCCTGTATTCTCAGTTCTCTTCCTTCTCCTTTCATCCTGTATACTCAGTTCTCTACCTTCTCCTTTTATCCTGTATACTCAGTTCTCTTCCTTCTCCTTTCATCCTGTATACTTAGTTCTCTTATTTCATCCTGTATTCTCGGTTCTCTTCCTTCTCCTTTCATCCTGTATACTCAGTTCTCTTCCTTCTCCTTTCATCCTGTATACTCAGTTCTCTTCTTTCCCCTTTCATCTTGTTTTAAAACTCGGTTTTAATATGATGTCTATGAGATATTGTGGAAGGGAGAAATGGTCGGTTCTTCACTTATCTGTAATCGGTTTACGTGAGGTAAGAGGAGTAAGAGAGGTCCCGTCCTAATCTATGTTGACAGGTTAATGACAGTATCTGAATACCCAGTTAATTAATATTGGTTTATCTCTATTGTAACTGTGATAATTACCTGATATTGATCTGACCCTTTACAATACCACATTCAATATGGCCTGCGGGCAAGCGCATAATGCCCCGCAGCAATACATCTTCGCCCTGGGGCAATCTTGTCCTAGCCCCAGGGGTTGAATTTGCTGCGGTCAGTTGACTTTATTTGACCCCTGCTGATTTACAATAGGATTATACGCCCCCCTCTAATCAGAATAATAATGGTTGGGTTACAACTTGCACGAAATTCAAATCATTAAATAATTAACTCTCCAGGGGTTCAAACTACAGAGGAATTGTAAATTTTTAAAATTTTGTCAATTAACATAACGATGGGTCAGAACAGACACTAATTTAATTCGACAGGGGATACAATTGTTAATGAACTTTCAAAGTGCATACAGTATAAGATATAAAACTGTGGAATAGGAAGACGACATTTATGCAACCTTGTGTGTATTTAAGTTGCTAAATACACTTTAAATTTAACTAACTATAATTTAAAGGGACTGTACGCGTAATTTCAAGTGACCCTCCATACAAAGATGGCAATGCCCGATTTACAACGGTACCCTTGAAACCTTATACTAATCAAATATGAATAATATATCAATAATTTTGTTTCTTTAAAAACTGCTTATTTTCATTTGCGGTAACTTTCGTATTTCTTGTTTGTAAGAAGCAATGGAGAAACTACAGAAATAAACACTTTTAGAGCCAGAATAAAACGATGTCTTCCACATTTTTAATCAGATTAAGGTTTCAAGGGTACCATTGTATATCGGGCATTTTCATCTTTGCATGGAGGTTCACTTGAAATTACGCTTACAGTCGCTTTAAGTAGGTTTGTGTACACTGCACAATTGCTGTGTTTTACTTCATTATTTATCATTAGTTGAATCTAGCAAGCATTGCTTTACTTCAAGAATATATTAATGTTAGTTAGGCTTCTTTATTCCTGTAAGCATAAAGAACAGGGAACTTGATCAACTATAGCCAACCAATATTTCCGGGCCGAGTGCTGGTAAAGGAATTGAGTTTTTGCCACAAACGCTGAATTTCTAATCCCTAAATCTTCAACAACCTGATTTCGATAATTCAAACTATCCTTTGCTGAAATAATATTTATTTTATTCAAGATGTACAATTAGTACAAAAATATTTGGGAGGGGGGATACAATTTTTCTTTACAAAGTTAACCGTAACAATGAAAATGATGTATTTAAAGTAAGTATCAGCCATATATAAAGCTGGGTTAAACTAAATATTAGGATTCAACTTTAAAAACTTTTCCGAGTTTAGTATTTATTAGAACCATATCTCCGGTCTTGAAGAACTTTGTAGCTCCACAGCTTCCCACAAGGCAGGGTAATCCATACTCCCTAAACAGAGATGAGATTTTAACAGCTTAAACCCGATTAAAACCCAAACTCGGGCTTAGATATAACCCAAGTCAGGATTGGTTCTGATTCGACCAATGAGAGACTGTTCAGCAAGTTTTCTTCGTCAGATTCCGACAGAATGCCGTCAGATCAGCTGTGACAAGGAGATGTAAATTTCGAAAACTCAAACTTATTATTATTATTTTCATAGCATGTTTATTTTATATATTTATAAAATTTGACACCACAAATAATTCCCAAGATTTTAAATGTACCAATATAAAAGATGAAATTTACGATCATCAGCTGCTGAAGACTCGAGCCTTAAAGAGAGAAAACGCCAAGAAGGTTGGTTTTTACTAAACTCAAGGCCATCCAAAACCCGGGTCTTGACTTGAACTTGACGCAAAGACCGGGTTTTACTTAAGTTTAAGCTTTTTAAATCTCGTCTCAGGGATAAAAGAACTATATTATACATACTTAAAAGTCACCCCCTATTTGTAGAGTGGCATGTCTGATTCACAACGGTATCCATAAAAGCTTTGTCTGATCAAGCATGATATAGCCATAATTTTCGTAAACAAGGATAAAGCTTATAGACGTCATTGAAAGACCCCCAATATTAGAACGGAATTTACGGTTTACAAGGTTACTCATCAATGCTATGTCGACTGATCTATAACGCATTAAATACACCATTTTCTCTCTGAAAATTGGTTATTTTTTATTGTGGTTTTCTGTAATAAGAGACCTGTGGACTCAAACAGTGGAGGAAATTATTAGAATTAAACACTTTTTAAGCTACAGGGTTACCCAGAAAGGATGAGACTTCAGAGACGATTGTACGGAATTTGTTTCTTGCAATCATGGTTCTTTATTGCAGAAACCATTGTAGGTAACCCTGCTGTAGAGGAAGGTCATCTTTCACATTATTGACCAGATAAAGAATGAAATGGTACTGATATGAATTTTTTAAAATTTTAATTTGAAATTATATTGACCGTCCCTATATGCAGAAACAGAGATATACAATTAAGGCTTTTCAATTTACATGATAAACAAAACCAACCTTGCTACCACACCTCCGTGTGAAATTAAACCAACCTTGCTACCACAGCTCCGCGTGAAATTAAACAAACCTTGCTACCACAGCTCCGTGTGAAATTAAACCAACCTTGCTACCACAGCTCCGTGTGAAATTAAACCCCCAAGCTCAGTAACAACTCCTCCAAGCATAGGAAAGTAAGGACTCCATCCTAACAATTAGAAAGGTATGAATTGATATTATATTTAAATTGATTTTTATAACCAAAAAACTTTGATCAAAAATGACGAGATGTAAAAATTTTCTTCAAAAAAACTTCTTTTGTTTTTAACTTATTTTCCGCACTGTCTAAGTCCTTACACGAGTCTCCAAAGTTATATATTTTAAGTTTATGGAATTATTTTTCAAAGAATTGTTTTGAATTCAGGGAGGGAGGGGGTGCAGAGGCGCCATGATCCCCGCAAAAATGATCTCCGAACCTCAGGATTTGCAGAATTACCTCCCGGCCCCGCAAAACTGGTCTCCCAGCCTCAGTGACGTCACCAAGCCTCCCGCCATTCTGTCTCCACGCCCCGCATTTTGGCTCCAATAAAAAATATTTGGCTTTTATTTCCACCAAGAACCTTTTTTTAAAAAATTCTCAACATGATGAAATAGTTCAGAATGATACATTAACATTTTGTATTTAAAAGTGAATTTTAATTGAGATTAAAGGCTTGTATTTTGTTTTTCTAAATTTCACAAATTCCTTAAATTGTGCAGAACTATTGCAGTTTTCTATAAAGATAGAAAAATGTTCTATTATTTTAGAGGGGTCTCATATACCAATCAAACAATATCAGCGGCAATTTACAAAACAAGGTAGTTTTAGTGAAATCCTTGTATTTGTGATTTTATCGTATGCTTTAGAAAATATTGAAGAACTATTTTTTTAAAAATTGAAACAAAGAATTAAAATAATCTAAATATCTATTACATGCTATACTAACAGGTTAGGGCAGCTTTGTGTCATATCTTGTTGTTTTAATAAGTTAAATTTAATTCTAAATAGTTTTTCTTTTAGCGAGAGAATTCATTTATTTGACTTAATATACAGAGGTGCGGGGGGGGGGGGCGCAAAAACTCGTATATTATAGAACAGATTCTCCTTAATTTGCATTTTTATGATAAAATGTAATGCTGAGGAACTGAGAGTTAAGAAAATCTTCAAATCATGAAGCCTTCAAAATATTAGATAAGTCGTCTATAAAGGTCGTCTTTTACTCATTCCATCTTAATGTAAACTTTAACAGAAAAACAACTCCAAAACAATTGAATGAATTAACATGTCAAATTTGTTGATTAGACGATTCTTTAAACTATGACGGAGTCTACTATGAAGAGATATATTTTGATATTTGTTTTGTTAAGCCAATAAATTTAAACAAAAAATAAAAACAACAAGCGGAGACCAAAATGCGGGGCGTGGAGACAGAATGGCGGAAGGCTTGGTGACGTCACTGAGGCTGGGAGACCAGTTTTGCGGGGCCTGGAGGTAATTCTGCAAATCCTGAGGTTCGGAGATCATTTTTGCGGGGATCATGGCGCCTCTGCACCCCCTCCCTAATTCAGGCGCCTTTAAGAGTAGGAAGTGCAGATTTTATTTAAAGGGACAAAAATGCGTAATTTTAAATGACCTTCATGTCCGATATAAAACGATACCATTTAAACCTTTTTCTGATCAAGGATGAATAAAAACAACCTTGTTTTTCATTTTTTACAAAAGAGACTTTCTGATTTATGCAGTAGAAACTGTAAATCAGGGGAATGTGAATCTGACGTGCCACTATACATGGACTTTGAAGGATCATTTGAAACTACACCTTCAACTGAAGACTACTATTTCCTCATTGTGTTACCTATATCTGTGCTAGTTGTGATGAGAATTTCTCCAGGTTGTATAGATTTAGCATCCTGGAGTCTAGTCACCACTCTAGCTAATCCTTTAACCTTGATCAGAATTTTTATATATATATGTACAGCTAGGCTTTCAGGGCGCTTCCCGCTCATCTTCTTTTATAATTGTTAACATTTTCTCTATGTATGCATTGTAAAGCAAAAAACAAAACAAAAAAGTTTGCGGATTTTATAAAATATTTCGTGATTTTCTAAATTTAATGGAAATGGAATTTTGTTGAAGGCTATTTTTTTTAAATTTTGATCATCCATAACTTCCCAGGGGTCACACTCACGTGAGGTCCCACAAACATTCAGCCGTTTTGACTTTTATTGGATACAAACAAACAGACAAATAGACAAGAGAAGTATAAATATAGATGCAGTGAATCCCAGATATATGAATACATAGACCGTAATAAGTTTTTTGATAATTCTAAAGAAACTTCTTTTTATTTTTAATTCAAGGTAAATTAATAGCCCTGAAATATGAATACAATTGATATTTTGATATTAAACTAATTTTTCCCGGCATTTGATCTTAACACGGGCAGCCGTAGTACATTTGAATTTCCTAGCCGGGTCAACCTTTCCGGTCCCAGTTTGTACTGTATCGCCCAGACATTAATAAAGCAGACACTCTATAGGACTAGCCGGTGCACGTGCAACAAAACAAGGTTGACGCGGTCAGACTTTAGGTTGAATTTACTTTTACTGAAGGGTTAGAGGTGCGTGTTAAATAGGCAATTCGACGCTATGTATTCACTGTACAATCTCCAGCATCCTGGCTCAAAATTTAGAAACATATTTTCTTGTTCAATCTATAGTTGTTAAATCCTACCGTTCCTGAACAGGCCGGGGTTCCATGAAGACTGTTCCCTTCCGTAACCGGAACACTACTATTCTCACAAACTGAACATAAAATATGTTAATCAATTTTATATTGTTTTTATAAAAGATAAATATATGTTCAATGTATATCTATCTTTATATATCGAAAATTGTACTATTCCTTTTTTGAAGACATTTTATTAAAGTTTCTACCTACCTTGACTGGGATCAAATGTTTGAAAATCTATCATTTCCGGAAACTGGAGTTCATTTAGGGTTGGAAGGATTTTCTTCCTCCGACCAGCCTTTACAACTGAATAGCAAGTACGTTTCAAGTATAGATTATAAATTTAACTTTAAAAAAATCGAAACTTTTTTCGATTGTTTTTACTGATTTTCAATGACAAAAATTCTGGATTTAAGTAGATCTTTTTCAGTTGTTCTAGACTGAGTTCGGAATTAATAAACAGAAAGAAGTGATTGAACTAGGCACGGATAATTTTGAACTTCTTGTTTAACTTGAGCAGTGGTTCAACTACTTCTCTCAAACATTAAATCCGGCCTCTAATGTTTGTTGATCCTACCTAAACTTCTTTTATCCTTGTACACTAGTTGATGGATTTCAGCGTGGGTTAAATAAAATATATCAGAACTATCTATCAGCAAACCTACGAAAAATATTTTATCTATAATAATACAATCTCACAAAAAGGACGCCGACACATTTACAATTAATATCAATGATGGGATTAGCCCTAGAAGTTTAAAAGAACCTTTGCTTTATAGCGGCGGCTCGTACTGCATAGCAATTCTGAGAGGTTTGTTTATGCATAGCAGAGGCTCATGGCGGCCGAGGGTTCCCTCCCTCATGCAGTACAATTACACTGGACCGGGAACCCCTTGTACCGCTACGGAATATGAAACGATCGAAATCGTTTGGGCTTGGCATTGCTTCAAAGTTGACTTGATCTCAACTAAGCATCATTTTTATAATTGAGAAGATCCTTGTGGGCTTTAATCAAGTACCAAAAGTAATTCGATTTCACATTAATGTTTCATATCTTTTTTCGTTTTTTCCCTATGTAAATCTTTCTAATTCGGGATATCAGTAATGGTTTAATTGTATAAATTGTTATAAATCGGAGTAATATATAATACATCTATCATAAATGACAATTGGTAAAGAAATGATGCGGGGGGGGGATTATTTGAAAAAATGAAAACCTGTGAATTTAAGATAATCAGCTAGGATGGAGTATCCTTGTCTCAGGATATCTGTCAGTTTTATCAACAGAGATTTACTCTCTTCACGCCTAGCAACACTCCTAAATACAATATTATTCCAGAAAATAATTTTATTAATATTTGTCATTTTTTTCAATAGAACATCATAAATCTTTAGAACTCAAAGGAATTGTGTCTTTGCCACAAACTCCCTTATCTTTGCAACCCAATGTCGTAGACCTTGGATTCTGTTAGGTTTACACCATCAGTCAGGTTGCAAAGATAAAGGGATTAGAAAATTTGAGTTTTGGCAAAGACTCAATTCCTTTAAACATTCAAAGTTAAATTTTTGCTATAAAAGAAAATATAAAAAAAAACAGGAGTTACCTAAAGATTTCCGTTTTGCTCATTTTTTTTTCTGTCTAAGATTTGAAAGTAGGGGATTGGAACTAGGGTTTCCAAATTTTGTTAAATTTTTACGCAAAATTCGTTTAAATTTTCGCCAAATTCGATAAAAATTTCGACATTTTCGGCAACATTTTTTTTCTCGCAAAAATACCTTTTTCTTGGCGCGAAATGGAAAAATTTCGATTTTTATCGTATGAAAATTTCGAACAAATTTCGCGAAAAAAAATTTACCGAAAATTTTCGCGAAAATGAACGAAAATGTTCCTTTTCGTTCACATTTAAGTTAGCTGAACGAAATTTTCTCGAAAGAGATTGAATGAAAATTTGGAGACCTTAGTTCATTCAAAGAAAATTTCGATGGAAACGCTAATTTTTCTCTCATAAATTAGAAAATTTGCAAAAAAAATCTTCGAAAATGTTTGAGATAAAAGAAAAACTTCGAAATGTACAGGGGGTAGGAAGCACACTAGATTTTTATCATATTTTTAAATAAAGTATTTTACCCATGAGCTAAGGGTAGAATGAGATTTATAATCTTCTCCTGCATAAACCCACAACTCTTCTTCTCTTTCTTCTCTTGACCTGGAACAAGTGACGTGCTTAAGTTGATTCGTTTTTGGTGCTTTTTTATTCAGGGTCGTTGTTGAATTTTATTTTTTTTAGAAGAAAACATTTTAATATTTAATAAAAGCAAACTTGAACCGAATGCAGTTTTAGTAAAAACCGATGAACAACTCTACCTGGAACCTGACTCCGGGTAGTGTTCAGCATAGACTGCAGGGTTCCAATTATGGGACTAAAAACACAAACAACTAGAAAGGGGAATTCTCTTCCAGATATCCCCCTTTTATTTTTTCATGTAAGCACTGACATAAATGCATTAATGGAGCTTTATAAACAAAGACGGTATTCTGTTGGTTCTATTATTCAAGAATAAACAAAGACGATATTCTGTTGGTTCTATTATTCAAGAATAAACAAAGACGATATTCTGTTGGTTCTATTATTCAAGAATAAACAAAGACGATATTCTATTGGTTCTATTATTCAAAACTAAAAATAACAAAAATAATAATATTTTTTTGAATTTTACCCTGAACAGTTACCTAGCATCCTCTCTCCATGGTTTGACGGATAGATCGAATTCCTTGAGACACCTGTGCCCGAACAGATCCAAGAATTTCCTGCAAAAAACAAACAAATTTTGGTAACAAAAACCTATATTTTATTATTGATTTTTACATATTTTCAATTTCTTAAAACTTTATGATCCACTTTGAACTCTGCTTCATTTTCTGTACCGGGCCGATTTTAGCCCATATAGAGCCAGCAGTACAGTACACATACAACCTATTTAAGCCAAACCAGAGCAGTACACAATTTTAACCCTATTTTAGTTTAAATCATACTACTCAAAAATGTTTCTGAGGGCCAGAAAACCCTTTATCATAGAGGTTTTAAGGACGATTTAATGCTTGACTAAATTCAACTGATCCAACATTTTGCTGCATCATAGATTATGTATTGAATTTTGCTGCATCAAAGATTATGTATTGAATTTTGCTGCATCAAAGATTATGTATTGAATTTTGCTGCATCAAAGATTATGTATTGAATTTTGCTGCATCAAAGATTATGTATTGAATTTTACAAGTATCAAAGATTATGTATTGAATTTTGCTGCATCAAAGATTATGTATTGAATTTTGCTGCATCAAAGATTATGTATTGAATTTTACAAGTATCATAGGGATCAATTCAGTAATTAATAAAAGTTTTATTTCTTCTAAGATATAAGGATTTTAAATTAAGAGTTTGCAGCGAGTAATCAGCTCTTTCAAGGGTTTCTATAAAAAGTTTCCGCATATTGAACTGTCTAAAAGTATATTATAATTAAGGTGATACAATGAGAAAAAGTCATCACAAAGGAACTGAGTTCTTTCCAGAATATCTTTAAACCCAAAGTTGCAGGCCTTTAATATTTCAAACTTATGTTTTTGTTAGATCAAAATTTTAATTTAAAATATCAAAGTTTTACACCATCAGGTTTCAAAGATAAAGGAAGAAAATTTGGGTTTATGGCAAATACTCAGTTTCTTTGTTAAAAAGAATCCATGAAAGTTTCTAAAGAACCCTAGGATTGAGAATTAACCCTATATTCAGAATAAATACAGGCCTTAGTTCCAAAAATTAGAATAAATGCATGTTTTTAAATTGATGAACAATTCCTTTAATGAATGAATAGATAAAGTTACCTGTATGAGCTGGATAGGTTAGTTTTAATCCAGGATTCAGCTTCCTCCAGAGAAGCTTCTGCGAACCCTTCCTTCCAGTCATCTAAATATGCCAAAAATATACAATATAAAAACCAAAACTTTTTCTTTTTGAAGACAAACTAGAATTTTTCATTAAACATATAAGAAAACTTTATATGGTGTATAGATCTATACAGCAAGAACATGGACAAATTCTGAATAATCAATTCAAGATACGTGGTTGAACCGTCTCTTAATCTATCTCAAATTCATTAAATTCGATCACAGGATTAAAGAAAAGTATTATTTAAAGAAATTAAGTCATGTCTCGAACTCAAATTTTCTAATCCCCATATCGTTGCAACCTGATGGTGTACACCTTTATTATTTTAAACTTAGATGATGTAATCTACAACTTTGAAATATCTCAGGTCTACGACATTGGGTTGCAAAGATATATGGATGAGAAAATCAAAGTTTGTGGCAAAGGCTTGAATCCTTTTCATTACCCTTTGTTATAATCTCCACGTAGAGTTTATTTAGTCCTGTGGGCACCCCTGCAGATTCAACAGTACTATCGTCTAAAATATAGTTTTTGAGGCAACATACGAATGAATAAAATTAGTTTTTATTAACGATATTAATTTATGATAAAAGTTAAAAAAGAACTTTGGGCAAGTGTTCATAGATTAATTAACAATAACAGATATAACACTTTATGTCGTATTTTCAATATCTAGGAGTTTTTCGTTCACAATAACCCTGAGACAGAAGCCCAAAGGAGTTACGCGCATGCTGCGTTGAATCACGAGATAGAGAGAGAGAATGCGCGTAAACGAAAAAATGAAACTTCAATGAAGAGCTGAAACTTTCTAAGTGTCAAGGTCTAGGGATGGAAAAGTGAATTAAATACAATCTTCTGAGGCCACGATTTAAAAAATTCGGGAAAATACGGCTCGGGTCAAAGCTGTCGTTGGGCTTTATTTACGGCTGGAGCTTTCGGATTCAAGCTGCATCTAATTTTTCACAGGATTCAGTTAAAAAACCGGTTTAATATTCTATTTGGTGGACTTTCATGATAGAAATTGACGCATTCCGGGTTTTTTGAAAGCAAGGCTCAACACTGAACCCTTATTCTCCACTAAAACCAACCAAGGTCGGTTTTATTTTTATTGAGCCTAAATCCTAAAGTCGAGCTGAGGATCTTGCAGCTGTCAATCACGTGACACAAGCTGTCGTCAGAGTTGGGTTCAAGATTTGGTCTTAAAGTCGGGTTTAAGGAAATAAGGCTCGAGCCGAAGCTTTTAAATCGCGGGCTCTGAAAACGCAATGAAAAAGTTTTGCCAGCAAGATTATCCATAGAAAATCGGGAAAAAACTGTGAGCTAAACCCCTGTTTAATAAATGATGCAAACGATGAATATATTTAGTAAAAAGTACCTAAAGTAAGAATATTAGCAATATCTTGAAGAATCTGTGGCGTGAGGTCATCCTTTCCTCCAGATATAATCAGGAATACGATAGTCTGGTATGCAGAGCTCAACTCACTTAACATCATTTTAATTTTACGTCAAACGAAAGTAAATTGCAACTTGAAAAAAAATGTTTTGAATTTCAAATCCGAAATCAAATAAATTTGCTTTTCTCATACTATTCATATTCTTGTCATTTTCTAGTCTGATATTCTTAAAATCTTATTTATTTTCTAGTCTGATATTCTTAAAATCTTGTTTATTTTCTAGTCTGATATTCTTAAAATCTTGTTTATTTTCTAGTCTGATATTCTTAAAATCTTGTTTATTTTCTAGTCTGATATTCTTAAAATCTTGTTTATTTTCTAGTCTGATATTCTTAAAATCTTGTTTATTTTCTAGTCTGATATTCTTAAAATCTTGTTTATTTTCTAGTCTGATATTCTTAAAATCTTGTTTATTTTCTAGTCTGATATTCTTAAAATCTTGTTTATTTTCTAGTCTGATATTCTTAAAATCTTGTTTATTTTCAATTTTCTTCTCTTACATTGTTGTGGTAAGATAAAGGAATTGAGTCTTTGCCACAAACTCTGATTTTTAAATCTCTATATCTTTGCAACCTGATGTCCAATACATTAGATAATTCAATCTGTGAATTCTGTTACATCAAATAATCTAAGTTTGAAATATCAAAGGTTTACACCATCAGGTTGCAAATATATAGGGATTAGAAAATTTGAGTTTGTGGCAAAGACACAATTCCTTTGTTTTCGCTCTTTTAAGCTTTAGCAACCAACAGAAAGATGACAAGACATGAATATTATATTTATATGATTATATTATTATATTATATTATATTTATTGCTAGAATACCAAGAGAAATTTATTTTTTACCAACAAACTTAAATTTTCTGATTCCTTCATATTTGAACCCAGATGGTGTAAACCTTAGATGTTTTAAACTTAGATTATTTGATCTAACAGAATGTATAGTTTGAAAGATCTACGATATTGGGTTGCAAAGATATTCGGATTGGAAAATCAGAGTTTGTGGCAAAGACTCAATTCCTTTGTTCTTTCTGAAGTTACTTTAATCTATTTCATGTAAATATCAACCCCTGATAATTCTCTAATAATCCTTTCCTACTCATACTAATAATACTATTATCAAAACTCTTAAATTTACAATATTTACGCAGTGAGAACCAGAAAACTTTGGAATAAGAAGACGACGTTTAGACTTAATTTATGACATACAGTAGTCCAATCAACATAAGACACAGCACTCCTGTATGCCGAGTCCATTAGCGCCTGATCCAATCAGGGTTCAGTCATGTGTTTGGTGTCTATTCTGAACCAATAGAAATTGCATGGCAATCTATCTCTCTCATTATCCAATTAGAGATAAACCCTTATATCGGCGCTATAACAATAAATGGAAATATTTACTTCTACTGAAACTATAATGACAGAGTGGACTGTGGCGTGTAAACACTAAACAAACTTTAGAAGTGATTTAATAAGTTACTACTGTCATAATAAGAATGACCCGGAATAAATTGAAAGTTAATCAGAGCTGAAAACTTTAGAATGGTGGATATCGGGATTAATGCTTAATCCACTCTTTTTCTTAATCTCGAGATTAAATGTTGCTTGTTCTCCTCTCATTTTTAATCTCCAGATTAATTTTCCGATCAGGATTAAGGATATCCCATTCTAAAGTTTTCAGCTCAGATAATTTGACATATATATCTCTGGCAATTTTAAATTTAAAAAAAGGCAGATCACATTTTGGAAATGGCAGGAATAAAGCTATTTTGTGATTATCATTTCATCAATCTTATTTGTAAAATTAGATTGTAAGTCCTCTGATTAATTGTAAATTAATTCCGGGTCTTTCTGATTAACCATACATAGAAAAACTATTTGCTTTGTAACAACATAAAATACACTTCATTATTTCTTTAATGTTGTCCTCCTATTCTACAGTTATCTGGTTCTCAATTTATGTAATTTCTTTCAAAATCTTTTCAATATGAATCAGTGTTAAATATCAAAATAGAAAAAATACCTGTTTTTAATATGAACATAGGTGATTCGAGCTAAAAACATAACATTTATATTTTGCAAATTTTGAAAAAGAATATTTTATAATTAAGCATAGTTGTCAACCATTAACATTAAGACCCCCCCCCCCTCCATGTAATGTCGTCTTCAACCTAAAAGCTCCTCTCGGAGACGAGAAACCAAACCAAACAATTTCAGCCCGCTTTTCTTCTTTGTTCTCCGACTACGGAGTATAAACGTTTATTAATTGTGAACCACTTCAAAGTTATAGCAAGAATATTTTCATATAAAGAATTAGTGACCTTCCTCAACATTTAATTGTTACTCTTTTCAGAAGTTTTAATGTATAAAAAGCGTCTTAGGACTTTTCGACAGTTAACCCACAAATAAGCAAATAGATTGTAAGAATCTTTTCATTATAAATTTGTAAACCCTTGTAATAATTATTTTTCATTATTCATTTCATTTTTTTTAGGAAATAAAGAGTTTTCTGCATTATCGATTTTGATTTGAGGGTTATTCCTTGTCTATCTGTTCATTGTCAGAATCTTGTTCCTTAGCGACAACAATAGTTTATCTGTGAAAGTGTCTTGCGCATTTCTTGCTGATAAGAAGCAATAGAAACAAATTTACGAACGAAACACTTTTCTATTCAGAAAAACGACAGAATCTTTCACATTTCTGATCAAATTAAGGTTTAAAGGATTCCTTTTTGTATCGGGAATATCCCATTTTAAAGGGAGTTGAACTGAGTACGCAGTGTTGTGGACAAATTCTTTAGGATTCATTTGAGACATATAAAACGTTTCCACGATGCATAATTACTGAGTTTAAGTGCAAAGTCGACGTTCAAAATCGTAGTTTTGGGTGGATACGTTTTCAAAATTTTGATTATTAAATAACGACGACAAAAAATGTTAACAAAATTCTACAGTAAACTAATTAGTTGTTTAGGAACAGGTTGAGAAAATAAAAATTAATGTTATCATCGAAAATCATCTTGTTCAATTATTAGTTTTTATTTTCTCATTATTCTAGTTTCTCATTATTCAAAAAGATTTTCTGGAATTATTATTGAAAAGACGACATTTGAAGAATTTGTAGAAATCTGCGAATAAATTCATAGAAAATAAGAAATTCAATATAATGATGAAACGAAATAATTGATTCTTGCATTGATTTATTGACAAATTTCTTTTGAGAAATATGTTCCTAACCATCTAATTAGTTTAATGTATAAATGTTACATTTTTTTTCGTTGTCGTTTTTTAATAATTAAAAAAACGATTCTGAAAACGCACCCACCCAAATTCATGATTTTGAACGTCAACATGCACTCAAACTCAGTAATTATACATCGTGGAAACGTTTTATATGTCTTAAATGAATCCTTAAGAATTTGTCCAAAACACAGCATACTCATTTTAACTACCTTACATAGCCGGTCTGTCCCTTTAAATGGAAGGTACTTGAAATTACGCTTACAGTCCCTTTAATAAATGTTTTCTTATTTTGAAATGTTGGTTTCCTAGAAGGTTCCATTGAGTGTCAATCTTTGCCAATATTTGTTTAGGACACTTTAACTTCTAGGACATCCAAAACTAACATAGGTTAAATTAAAAAAGCCATCAAAGATTGATTGTTAAAGTGATTTGTCAACGATTGGTATCTAAACTCGAGACCACCCGATTTTAAATGACTTAAGAAAATATGTTCTCTGGACTTAAATAAAGCTCGATCCTTAAAGTGAGTGTTTGCAAAAAATTAAAGGAGGTAATGGTTTATGTTGGATTGAATTCGATATTAATCGCAACTAATTTTACTTTTATCTACAGCGTCAAATATATAAATATATATATCCTCGAGTCTAATCTATAGTTAAAACAGTAAGTCACTTCAACAAAAGTCGGGTATGTCGTTGAACGTTTGAGAAGAGACTAAGGAATTTGAACTAAACCTCAGATCTATTTTTTAAAAAATGGTCTCGATTCCGAATTATATTTGACCTAAATCCCATAAACTACACTTAAAGCTCGTTGTGCCAAATTGATTGACTTTATAAAAAGTTTTGGATTCCTGAATTTGTTGAAGAAATTCCAACTCGTCAAATTTATCCTTCTCCAGGTTATGAATTTTAGTATGTGTCAACATATCCCTAGATTAAACCTCTCCTCTCATCCTTGATGGGATTGGGAATCCATGGTGTCGGGATCGGAAATCCACGGAGTTGGGATTGGGACTCATTTTTCATTAGTTTTAATCTGAGAAGTTATAAAAATTTGAAAATTGTCGACTTATGAAGCTTGCTTTTATTACACTTAGAAAAAATCATTTTTAACTGAAGGTTTTAGAGAAAACGTGCCCGAATTAACAAAAAAGATTGCATTTTTTATTTTACAATTAGACAATCAGAGTTTGAATCAAGTGTTCAGTTCCTTTGGCGTAGAAGAGTTTAGATTAAGGTTTAAGATTAAGGTTTGAGAATAAGGTTTAGTTTCCTGATAAGATTCAGGTTTGATAAGGTTTAGTTCCCTGATACGATTCAGGTATGATAATAAGGTTTAGTTCCCTGATACGATTAAGGTTTGAGAATAAGGTTTAGTTTCCTGTTAAGATTCAGGTTTGATAAGGTTTAGTTCCCTGATACGATTCAGGTATGATAATAAGGTTTAGTTCCCTGATACGATTAAGGTTTGAGAATAAGGTTTAGTTCCTGATAAGATTAAGGTTTGTTGTTACATCATCTCTTCCCCCGTGTCTATGCAGAGCTGTGTCCAGCATAGCTTGACTTGTAACCTTAAGTAAAGTCTACTTAAGTTTCGGTAAAATCTTAAACGATGCATATGTACTCAGGGTGTCAATAAAATTATGCATTTCTTTACTCAGGGGTGTTAATGAAGCCATACATATATCTACTCAGGGGTGTAAATGAAACCATACATATCTCTACTCAGGGTTGTCAATGGAACCATACAAATCTCTACTCAGGGGTGTCAATGGAACCATACATATCTCTACTCAGGGGTGTCAATGGAACCATATACATCTCTACTCATTAGTGTCAATGAAACCATACATATCTCTACACAGGGGTGTCAATGGAACCAGACATATCTCTACTCAGGGGTGTCAATGGAACCATGAACATCTCTACTCAGGGGTGTCAATGAAACCATACACATCTCTACTCAGGGGTGTCAATGAAACCATACAATACTCAGGGGTGTCAATGGAACCATACATATCTCTACTCAGGGGTGTCAATGGAACCATACACATCTCTACTCAGGGGTGTCCATGGAACCATACATATCTCTACTCAGGGGTGTCAATGGAACCATATACATCTCTACTCATTAGTGTCAATGAAACCATACATATCTCTACACTCAGGGGTGTCAATGGAACCATACACATCTCTACTCAGGGGTGTCCATGGAACCATGCACATCTCTACTCAGGGTTGTCAATGAAACCATACACATCTCTACTCAGGAGTGTCAATGGAACCATACGTATTTATTCTTTCACATTGACTATCAATGATCGCAAACAAATTTCTACTGATAATACTTCTCTAATCTCAAAGATTTTGTCCGTTCATTATCATATTGAAACCATGTTCAAATTAATCTCTTTTTACCTCATGTCCAAACACAGCATAGTCAACAGCCTTGGAGACGAAGCTGAGGTTGGACTCTGGCCAACGGAGGACGCCGTTGATCACGTCGAGGACGTTATGGTGTTGTATTGTCTGTATCCAGGACCAGGAGTAGGGGGAGTAGAACCTGGGGTTGTTCTCCTTCAAGCTTGTGTTCAGCTGCAGGATTCGATCCATCGCCTGTATCAAGGTAGACCTGGAAACACCAGGTATTAAAGTGAGTGACTTGCTAAACATGATAGTTGAGCTGAATACGCAAAATTGTAAAATTAATTTTGATAAATTATTTTTTCAATAAGTTTTTCAACTAGTTTGGAGGATAGTGTTTGTTTCATGTTTTTTTTTCGTATTATCTTAGAATTGTAAAAAAACGATTCATTTGTTGACTGAAACAACTGGTGAAATATTACAAACGACTTTACGCTCTTATTTAAAAATTGTACACCGTAAAAATGTCTCATTGGTTTTAAATGAATCCTAAAGTTTTCTCTACAATACTTCACTTTCTGTTCAACTACCATGTCCATAGCAAGTCCCTCCCTTTTAAAGGGATTCTAAAACCAATTTCAATTCCCCTTTCTAGCTATTTTAGCGACGGCTAAATAAAAGACAAAAATCTATGAACAACTAACTATATTTTTCGTTTCAATAAACCAAGAAATAAATATACTAATATGGCGACTCTTGATATATATCACATGAGTTTGATCAGGTCAGTACTTGCAGACATTACGGCGGAAAGTAGGACGACTTGTCCGCCACAGGACTCCCCCCAGAAACCAAGGCGGAGAGATTGAAGGCGGAGGCGAGGTTTCTTGAATAACTCCTTGCTGTTCTGTGAGGGTTCCTGCGAACAGGAACTGCAGGCTGAACTTGAAAACGAACCTTCCTGACGACTCGAGGCGGAGCTGAGGCGGATGTATCAGTTTTCGAACTCTGAGGACGGAGGGTTGGACGACCACGAGCAGGAGGCCTGGCTGGAATGATCGTGGAGTCGGAAATCACTGGTTTGAGTCTGTCAACGGATACTACATCAACCTTGTCACCAATCTGGAGGCGGAAAAATTTGCTCTGACGTTCCAGTACTTTATAAGGACCTCTGTATAACGGAGAGAGGGCAGGAACGGAGGCATCTTCACGAACAAAAACAAAATCAGCTTGGAGAAGAGAGTTTGGTAGAGATTTAGGAGCAGCGGGAGCTACATGATGAGGTGGAGGGGCGGAGAAACCTGATGAAGCTAACTGAATTTTCCTCAGGAACGAATCTGGTGGGAACTCTGGAACGCTCAGAAACTCTCCTGGAACGCTGAGAGAACTAATATGGCGACTCTTGATATATATCACATGAGTTTGATCAGGTCAGTACTTGCAGACATTACGGCGGAAAGTAGGACGACTTGTCCGCCACACTATCCTTTATTTATTGAAATAATCTGTGTAAAAAAATCCCAATTAAAAAAAGCCAATTTTCAATTTCGGACATGCAACTTTAAAAATGCGGAGCTGGGAACTTTAGAATGGTAGATATCGAGATCAATGCTTGATCCTTTGATTCACCACTTTTTTTAATCTCGAGACTAACCTAATCTTGTACTTGTACCCTGAAAAGTGTATAAAATTCAACCAATCAGAGTCGCGTATCAGAAGCCGCGAAATTTGAAATTTTGCGCGCCATTTAAGATTATAATACAGAAACGGGAGGGACTCTCTAATTTTGAAAACCGGTTTTTGATTTTTCTGTACTATATCTAAAAAAGAGTGAATTAAGACTGGATATTCGGATTAAGCAGTCGGATTTACAAGTATCTGATTTACAGGTATCCAATTCTAAAGTTCCCAGCTCAGGTCACTGAAGATTACGCCTTCACGATCACTTCAGTCAGTCCCTTTGAAGTTAGACTTTTAGTTGACTTTTAATTCCGCATATTTCATATTTTATTATTATAATTATATTATTATTATTATTATATTATTTCATATTATAGCTCTTATGCAAAAATGAAGCTTTATTATCAAAAGGAGTGAAACAGTTAGTTCACAGTATGGAGCTTCAAGATAAAATAAATTTCGTTTCATCAAGATCATAACCCGTTTTTTATGATTATTTACAACTACTCTACAGGGAAGTTAAGGAAAGTAAGATTTTCAATTTGAGTTATTTTACACAATGGTTTATATAGTCATGAATATTCATAAAATTGCGCGTTTATGGTGATTTAAATGACATGAATAGTCTATTGAAAGATACGAGTCAGGACCTGGTTAATGGAGTCATAGCTCCAGGTACAACTTCTCCAAGGTTTGCTTTCGTCCAGATCTCTTTCTCCGAGGGACGTGGAGAATCAAACTCGTGGGATATCTCCCAATCTGTATACCTGCATATACATATATAATATATATATATAAAAATCTCTCCATCATTTGAAGTTAAGGCATCCAAACCACCCAACATGACAATATCAATTTGTGTTATCTTTCAATGATAGGAATAGATATACCTGTATTCCTGCAAACATATTTCATATATTTTCGTGATTTAAAATTTTTCAGTTATATACATTTATTTATAACTTAACTCAAAAAAAAGCCAAAGTCAAATGTTTATGAACTTTAACCTCCTTCTTTATTACCTATATGAATTCATTCGTGGAAAAGTCTAAAATAAACTTGTTTTGTGCCTGTCAAAAACGTCAAAGTGAAATGTTTATGAACTTTCACCTCCTTCTTTTTATTTTCTATTATTACCTATGTAGTGTAGTGATAGGTCTAGCCTGGAGAATATATATCTCAAGGTTGGAGACTGCAAACTCTATATCCAGGGGACATCCATACACTTCAACCATATCCTTCCCTGGTTCAATTATCTTTCAAACTGTATCAAGTTACATTTACAAAACTTAGTTAGTTATATTCTAGAAGATTGGATAAGAATAGTTAAAGGAATTTTGCTGCCTGATTTTTGATACCTTTGTTATTTCAATATGTATTTCTTTGTGATTAAATAGTCAAAGTTTGAAATATCAAAGGTTTACACCACCAGGTTGCAAAAAAAAATAATAATTTTTTCAAAGATTCTCAAATCAAAAGTGCCTACAGTGGTTATCTAGATAAAGCGATCGGGATTATGCGTATCCAGCACAAAAGTTTCCAGCTCTGATTAGATATTTTGTTTTTCATAGTTTAAGTTTGAAGATTACAAGTACCTAGAAGAGCAAGTTTAAGAAGAGTATCCGTCTCCATACAAAGCTTGCTACTGGAGTCGGATTGGACCAGTTTTACAAAATCATCCTCATCAGATCCGTCCGTCTCCGTATCCTCTCTCAGCACTATTCTTTCCTTCTTCAATCCTACACTGCTACTCAGAACCTTGATTAGAGATTAAAGAGACTTTACGTGAAATTTTAATCGATAAATGTCAACGCCCGATTTACAAAGGTACCCTTTAAAGCATTTTCTATTCAAGTATGAATTAGATATCAAAATTTATAATTTTGAAAAAACTGATTATTTTCAATTCTCTACAAAAGTGACTTGCGCATTTCTAATGCAAGAAAACATATATAGGAATTATCAGAGTTATCATTTTGAACTCTAGAAAAACGACAATATTACATATACTACATTATATACTACATATACTACATTATACTACATTACTACATTATATTACATTATTGATCAGGTGAAGGTTCAAGGGTACCGTTGTGAATCGGACATCGAAATGAAAGGTCACGTTTTAATCACAATTTTATCTCTTTCAGGGGGCGAAAAATAAATATAAGAACCTTAACATATTTTAGAAAATCTATACTCTGCCAACATTTGCCTTTTTCCACTATGCAAAAAAACTTGGACATGGAACAAAATATATATCAGCCTGACCGAAACAAAACCAATAGTTTAAAACGATTATTTACCATCTGTCAAAGTAAAATTTGCATAGTGTTATTATCAGGGGGGGCTGGATCTTAGCTACCTCTCTGTGTGTATTGGCTTGAGTATTAGTAAGTACACTTGGGATAGTTTACTGATAAAGGATGTTAAGAGATTATAGCCTATTCATACAGTACAAATATCAAATATGCAGTACGCTTTCGGAGGACTAGTGTATGGGGAGGTTTTGTATCTTGAAATTTACTCAGTTTTCTCAGAACCGTTTATTAACGTTGAAATATTGCTCTGTAAAAGACTGTAAATGCACGTCTTTCTGTGAAAATTGAATCCTGCACACGATAAAGGAGTAGTGGATTTTAATAGTTACATGGAAAACAAATTCTCCATTTAAATATTTTCAGAAATCACCCCCGAGTACTGTAATATACAGATTGACCTTTGAAAGTGAAGTACATGACCTGTACAATTAGTAAAGGATTAGCGTACATCATCACTCTATATACTATAACCTCGTTGGTTATAACAGCAAACATTTAGAGTAAATAAGATAAGTTGAAAGTGTGTTGAATTCCAAAGATTTTTGAGCTGCTTAAAAGCCAAGAATTTCTACAAAAATGTATTCGTATTAAGTCGGAGTTTATAACCGCAATGAACATTGATAGAAATATTTCCAAGGTGGAGT